TCCTCACAAAAATAAATTAAAATTAGTCTCTATTATTACTATTTGAAGGGGCGTTGGTAGATTTGGCTAAAGATGCTCCCGTCCCCCATTTCCCTCAGGAATTCCAGAGGCGGCTCTACCTTTCATAATTGTCTGGCTAGTATTTGAGATGTGAGGCATTCTGTAATCACTGACTTCTGCAAGATGCAGCAGAATGCAGAAGGCAAAAGAGACAAAGTTTGCACTTTTACAGGTCAAAAGTCCAGGTGGGGCATAATAGTAACAGTTTTAGAAGAACAGATAACCAGGCTACTTCGTATCCAGATAAGAAATTCTCCAAAGGAAAGAGAGTTTGAAGGGGGAGGGGAGGGAACCAAGAGAATTAGAAGGCTGGTGTGTTTCCCCGAGAAGGGGCCCCATGTCCTGCCTACCCTTACCTGCAAGGCTGGACTGCAGACAGAGGGAGAAGAAAGGGACAAAGGCTTGGGGGAATCCCTGAGCATGGTGACCCATGCCTCATTCCCAGCAGAACCCAGGGAAGCTGCGAGATATTCAGAGCACCCTCCCTCCTAGTGATGCAGGCTTGGTGAGTCAAGGAGTCGAAAGAAAGATTTCTTGGACTCTCAAGGTCTGGCAGTAGTGCTCGTTTATTCAGAGAATAGCATGCAGTAGCATGGTGACACGACCCGTGGGCAGGAAGAGCTGCAGGCATGGGGACAGGACCCATGGGCAGTAAGAGCTGCAATGGGTTGAGGGCAGGACTAAATTTATAAGGCATAGGTATGTGAGTTATTTCTTTACAAGACAAAGGACGGATCATGAAAAAAATCATTAAAATGGTATCAGTGCAGGTGGGGTCTGGTTATTGGGTGGTCCTATAACTTTAGATAAGAATCAGATCGGATTAAGTCAGGACTTCCTATGCTTCCTGGAGGATGATATAGATCAGTATGTAGGACAGGTCACCTTGGGCCTCTCTCCCTGGGGCAGCCTTGATCGTCACCACTAGCATGGCATAAAGGAGAAGACTAGAAACTACGTAGGACATATCTGGGCAAGTGGATCTGAGATGGCCTCACAGAGAACCCTGCAGCCCCAGCATGGTAAGACAAGCAATGGAATGTTTATTTGTGTCAGAGAGAGGCATGCGTATAGAAACGAGAGTCCTGGGGCCGGCCCGGTGGCACAGTGGTTAAGTCCACACATTCCACTTTGGCAGCCTGGGGTCCACCGGTTCGGATCCCGGGTGCAGACACGGCATCGCTCATCAAGCCATGCTGTGGTGGGCGTCCCACATATAAAGTAGAGGAAGATGGGCACAGATGTTAGCTCAGGACCAGTCTTCCTCAGCAAAAAGAGGAGGATTGGCAGATGTTAGCTCAGGGCTGATCTTCCTCAAAAAAAAAAAAAAGAAACGAGAGTCCTCTGACTTAATGAGGCCCTGCTGTAGGGCTGAGGAGGATGAAGCAGTGGCCTACATGGACCTACATGGACCAAAAACTGATAGGAAAGGCAGATATTTCAGGGGATCTCTGGGAACTCCTCACCTTGACCCCACCCCCAGCCCCTCTGCCTCCACCCTATGTTAGCTCCCTGGAATGGAGACTCAAAATCCTGAATGGACTGAAATTAAGTTTCCACCACCTGGTGGAATGGGACCTTAAAAAGGAAAAGGAATTCAACCAGAGAAAAATATTTCCATTTCTTTGCACACCTTGAGTTTGCGGACTGAGATTTGTGCCTGCTGAACTCAGTTCATTTGCCAAGACGTTAATTGCATAAATCAAAAAACCAATTATTACAATTGCATTATTACCAAATAAAACCTGAAACATGTTTCTAAAGTCCCCGTGCTGAACGTAAGCTGTGTACCAGGTGCTGACCTATTCTCTAATACGTGATGTCATTTATTCCTTACAACTCATAGATGCAGCTGTCCCCACTTTATGATTAAGAAAATGGTGACTTAGAAAATTTAAGTAATTTGCCCAAGGCTGCAACGGTGGTAAATAGTCAAGTCAGAATTTAAACCCAGGAACGTCTGACTCCTAAATCAACATTCTTAATCCCTAAGTTAAGCGACATACTTTTCTCTCATTTGGCAACCCAGATCTCTCCAGGAACATTCCTTCCTACTACCTCTGCTGCCCACAGTTTCAAGGCAATCACGCATTCATGTACCGGAGCCCAGGGTACAAAGCAGCACTAATTTCATACCCTTCCTGCTCCTAGTTTCCAAATTGCCCAATAATTAAGTGGATTATTACTGTCATATCTTAGTGCCGGAATTAACAAGTTTTAGCTCAGTTCCTATTTCTTTTGCAGCCGCTACACCTTGTAAGTGAACCAAAATTGCTGATTAATTAAACTTCACCAAGGAGTAATATGTGCCAGGAGACAGAGACTAGACCAGAAGTCTGTAGACCGACTATGTGCCTTGATTTCTCATTCTCGCTCTTCCATCAACCAACTGTTCGACCTTGGGCAATGACTTAACCACTGTGACCCTCAGTTTCCTCATCTACAAAATAAGCACAATCTTAAGGTCCCCTTCTTCTCTAACTTTCCATGATTCTGAAGAGCCACTATTAAGTTTATTATTTTATGGGAACTGGAATTGTACTTCTCCAAATACTAGCTCTGATCTCTATCTGTATCCCTTTCCTAGATTTATCCCACATTCTGGGATAAGGCACAGGTCAAGAGTTTCACAAAGGGATGGGAAATTACATATAATAATACCTCAACTTGTTGGCATTAGGAGGAACATGAAGACTAAAGAGATGGAATTATTTTCAGGATGGCTCTATATAAAACTATATAAAGAAATATAAGAACTGCTATTAAAAGATTCCATCACTTTGGCTAAGGTAAGTCATCCTGATAACAGGGACCCCTGCAGGAGCATTGTCTCATGTCATTTGAAACTGCTTACTATCATCTTTTCTTTAAAATCATTTGTGGTATTCAGTGATCCTTCTGTTCATATCGATGTTATCTCCCTTTCCTTGAGTGTAAATTCTTTGATTTATTGAGTTTGTTATTTCCCTAGAATGATATGGACCTACTCAGATGTTCTATTATTCTTAGGGTGGGCACAGGACTTAGACCTGCACAATCAGAGTATTTCACACCCCTGGCTAGAGTGTTTATGTAAGGGATAGATATATGACCCCACAGAACCGATGGATTCCCAGCAGAACCTCAGGACGTTGGCAGAAACTATCAAGCAAGATAAGTTCTCTTTCTACTGTGGTTGCTGAGCTATGGAGGATGTGTATGCCATAGGCTGTCAGGAACCATCTTGCCACCAAGTAAGAAGAGCTTGCCCAAGATTGAAGCTAACACAGAGAAAGCAAAGTCTAGAGCCGAAGAGAAACAGGCTTCCTCATTATATCATCTGAGTACCTGGATCCCACAGTCTACTCCCTGGACTGTTAATAACACAGCCAATAAATTCCCTTTTTGTTTAAGCAGAAGCCATTCTAAGCCACAATTTTTTGTCACTTGCAACTGAAACTAATAAAAATAGAATTTGTGAACCTGTAGAGAAAGTCCATAGTTCTCTACTTTCTCACATCAGTAGATGCCCAAGGGCCTTTCTAAAACGGAAGCAATTGCTACACCACAGGAAAAGACAGTAAAGTGGGATCTTACCATATCTGACTTTCATTTACATGCTGATTTTGGAAACTAACCCACATGAAAGATGTAACTTCACAATCTTATTTCTCACAGCAGCAAACAAATTTATTGACATTTATTAATGTTAAGGCTTAATGTAAAAACGAGAAGGCACAAACCCTGCAGGTAAGAAGGAATACTTCAGAATTCCCCATCTGCTGCCAATTCACCACTAGCGATTAGATTTTCTCTTAAAGCCAGATTTTTTGAATGTTCAAATATCTGCTATATGGTCTCTCCTCCAGAATTTTCTTACATTATGTGGGAATCAGGAGCTAAGTGTCTAAAGATGACAGATTAAGAAATTAAAGATAAAGTATAATGTTTAAATTTATGAAAGGTGGCCAACAGCAGAACAATAAAAATATAACTAACAAAAATTGGGAGAAAGAAGGGGTAGTATAATGTGGGTTTATCATTTTTCACATTCAGCAGTGAAATAAGTACTGCTTAAAGCCGAAAAATCAAGAAATAGAAACATAAGCATATAATTTGGAGTTACAAAAATAAGCACCCAAAGACAGAAATTGACATTAATGCTGATATCGGCAGAGTGGGACCCAGGATGAGAGGGTAGGATGGTTTTTCCTTTCATTTATGCCTTTCAATTTTCTTTAAATGTTTCGTTTTTGTGGGCATGCATAATTTATAATTTATAAAAAATTGGCCAGAACTTAAACTATGTCTTTCTAGACAGCTTGCTCCCCTGCTATCTAAAATGTCCGTTTCAAGCAGTCTCTACTCCATCACACGGACTCTATCTCAGCTTCCCGCATCCAACCTTACAAACCTTTTTTTCCTTTTAAAATGGAGCAAGTGTCTCTCCATCTACATGAGGTTAATCTCTCCACTTGTGTGTTGGATCCAAGCCCCTCCCATTTCTTCAGAAATTGCTCGTTACCCTCTTTTTCTTAATATCCTTAAGCTCTGTTATCTCCTCCCAATCTGCAGATGCACATGCTCAGGCTACTCCCGTCTTAAATTTAAAAGCTCCCTGGACCCCATGACCCTCTCCAGCTTCCTCTCTCTTCTCTCCTTCGAGGTCAAATGTCTTCATTTCCTACTCTTGAACTCACCCCTATATGGGGTCTGCCTCCATCACTCCACCAGCGCTGCTTTTGCTAAATTCCCCAGCGGTTGCAATCTCTAAATCTGACCCGTAAGACCAATTTTCCTCTTACTTTATTTCTCCACAGCTTCTGACACAGGGGACCACTCTCTTCTTAAAACATTCTCTTCTCTGACTTTCGGGACACCACATTTATTATTACCTGCTACCTACACAGGTTCTTTACCCGCCACACAAGAGGGACCAAATAAAGACTGGAATGCCAGGCTTATGGCAAGGAAAGAGTTTTTATTTTGGGTGACGTCAGCCGGGAGATGAGAGTGAGCCCTCATATTCCTCTTGTCTCCCCTAAAGATGGGAGGCCAGGGGTTTTAAAGGTTGTAAGGAATGTGGCTGCTTGTAGGGAGAGGGGAGTCTGTGACCTTGCAGGTCAGCACTTTGCCACCAGCCTGCGTTTGGCCTTGTGAGGCTGCTTGCATGGAGGAGGAGATAAGGAATTCTGCAGGTGGCTGTCCTTGATTATCTGCCTCTGTAGGGGATGGTGGATTCTGGTGCCAGGAAGCCAAGGAGTAAGCAGGGAATGGGGATGAGTGTTTTTATTTTAACCCCATATATGCTGGGTTTAATGTAGGGGAACCGATATCAGGGCTGGTATCATTACCACTACTATGATTTGACTGACTTGGGACCTCATATTTGGTTTTGTGTTGAAGTTTCCCCTTCACCGTGGACTGTTTTTCAAGTCCAGCCATACCCTCAGCCATGACATTGACTACAGCATTTGCTCTGCACAAACCTCTGTACTCCACAGGCAGACCTTCATACCGAGTGCTTCCTTAATCCTCTGCTTGCTTCTGTAATCACCTTCGGGAAGAGGGGCCATCCCCTTCAGGTTGCTCTACGGGGAAGCCATTCTGCAGAAAGGCCAGCTTGCCACTGGAATTTTTATTGGATTTCTTCAGAGACACAATGTAGCAGCAGTTTTAACGAATGTGCTTCCATTTGTAATGGAAAACTTAATCTTGTGAAATTAAGAGAGTGCAGTCACCTGTGGCTTAAAACTCAGTTTGGGGGTGGTGGTGGGTAATTCCCAGTTGATTAGGATTATTTCCCTGTGCTCCTCTGGTCAGGATTCCAGTGTGGGCAGTGGGAGGGGGAGAGGCTTAAGTGTCATCCTAGCATCGTCTCAGTGCTTCTTTCTGGGTCTTCTTCCCTGTGGGATCCACTGAGAGTGCACTGTCTGATCTCCCACCCAAGTGCACACTGGTCATTGCAGGACAGCTTGAGGGCTCTTCCATGTTGATCTGGCCCAGCCTGGATCTCAGGGGCCTGATGACTTGGTACCAACTAGCTGTAGGCTCCTTTGCCAACCTGGGCTGTCCATCCCTCTAGCCTCATATGGACCATGGTTCCTGGGAGGCACTTCAGCATTCCTCTAGGGCCTGTGAGAGAAAAAGGGTGTGGGTGTGTGTGTGTGTGTTGGGGGGAAGGAAGGGAGTGGTATAGTTGGTTATCAGAGCCATAAAGGGTCCTCGCTATGCTCTTTTCTACTCATCCAAAGGTCAACCCAAGCTGGCTCAGGGTACTACCAACAGGCTGTCTTCTCCCAAAGATTCAGGCCGAGCCAACCTTCCCATCCTCATCCCCATCCCCACTGATTTTCAAGAGTTCTCTTCTCACCTTTTCTTTCTAAATCACTCGTCCAGCCCAGAAGGGAATTTGTCTCCCTATGGTGAGAAGGCCTTTTTAAAAAAATATATGCTATCCTTCTCAACTTTGTGGTCCATGGTCTATGTTCTGAATCTTTATATGCAAAGTCAATTCAAGAATCAAAAAGAAAAATACACATGGGGCTGGCCCAGTGGCACAATGGTTAAGTTCACACATTTCGCTTCGGTGGCCCGGGGTTCACTGGTTCAGATCCCGGCTGCGGACAAGGTACCTCTTGGCAAAAGCCATGCTGTGGTAGGCATCCCACATATAAAGTGGAGGAAGATGGGCATGGATGTTAGCTCAGGGCCAGTCTTCCTCAGCAAAAAGAAGAGGATTGGCAGCAGATATTAGCTCAGGGCTAATCTTCCTCAAAAAAGAAAAGGAAAAGAAAAAAGAAAAATACACATATCTTTTCTGCCAAGTACTTGGCTCTTGCAAATAAGAAGTACTCTAGCCTCAGATCACATTGCTTTTATTATAACTTTAAAAAAAATTGAAATTCAGGCTCTACTTGCTCTCCTTTCAAGGCAATGAAGCATATGGGGGGAAGGCTACAGGGCAACCAGAGAAAAAGTGAGAAAATTCTTGGTTTAAAATGCACAAATATCTAGGCATGTAAGCATACATTCTTTCACTTGCTGTCTCCCTCTTGCCAAAGAATTCATGAAAGGAAAAAACCACGAAATTTCTCCAGCCTTTTAAACGGCCAGATTTCTGAATCTTTTCACCCCGCTAAAGTTTCAGGAATTTTCAGTGAAAAGAAGAGCAAAACTAGAAGCAAAATTCCAAGCTTCAAAATTTCTTTGTGCCTGTTTTTAATGCAGTTTCTTTTGTCATGGCAGGAAAGTGGGCAATATCATTTTCATGTGATAGCTGGATTTTGATTATTCCAGCACATACATAAATTACATGCCTTTTTCGGGTTAATCTTATCTAAGCATTCTTTTTGTTTCGTTATTCTGACTCAAGCATTTTAAAATCAAAATCCACATTTAGTGGAAGGAAAATTTCCTTTTATTTGGTAAATTTATCATTATATATCACTCATTTTAACTTATTAAAATCTATTAATCTGAAAGTACATACACGCCTCAAATTGGAAAGGTAACAGCAAACAATCGGGCAGTTATGCTGTCAAGTGTGGACATTCTCAAGCGGGGAAAAAAATAGCTCTAGGAGAGAAAGGTTTGGGGCGGGAGAGAGAAACGGGCGCTTTTCCAAGCCACTTCCTGGCTATCTATCCAGTTGGGGGGTACTGTTTGTTACTTTAAGGAAATACGAGAGCTACAGAGGGTCCACGACGCAGTGATGTTACTGACCACAGACAGACACGACAGGAGGCCGGCCCGGCGGGGGCTGGACCGCGGAAACGAAACCAACCCTGCGGGCGAGGGCGAGGTTCAACGACTGCAGCCCCAGGGCAACGGGGACCCGGGTTAACCGAGTAACCTGATTCTTATTACTATTTAAGTTCACCTAAGCGCCCCGCCACCGCGACGACCTCGGAATGCTTCGCTCGCCTACATTCAGAGACTGCTTTCTGACAATCGAAAGATGGAGGCGAGCTTTTGTGGATGCGGACCCCGCTCGGCAGCAGCGTCTTCGGGCGGAAGCGCAGACCTCGCACCCGCACGGCGGATCAGGTCCGCGCGCATGCGCGCCGCGGCCGACGGCTGTGGCCGGCCCCCTCCGCTGCCCGCGCCGCTGGGGCCGGGCGGGCAGGGAGGCGGCGGGGGCGCGCGGCGTCACAAAGCCCAGCAGGAACGCGCGGTTGCGCTGAGGCTCCGGGCGCCCCGGGAAGGGCACTCGCGGCCCGCCCCCACCTCCCCAGCGGCGCACCATCAACCCCGCCGCCTGCCGGGGCCGCCGCGCCGCAAAGCGTCCTGGGACGGCCGGCTCGCGCCGGAAGGACGCGCGGGCGCGCGGCGGCGGCGAGCTTATAAAAGGGAAGGCGCCGGCGACGGGCGGAAGTGGGCGGTGCGGCGGCTCGGGGCGCTGTTGTCTGGCGTGTGGGCCTCCCGAGGGGCGTTCTCGGGCGGGCCGCCGGTGCAGGCCGCAGGGACAGGGCCGCGCGCCCCCGCTCCTTCCCGCCGCAGCGCCGGCTCGCGGCCGCCGCGCCCCGCAGGCCCAACATGGCGCAGGAGGTGTCGGAGTACCTGAGCCAGAACCCGCGGGTGGCCGCCTGGGTGGAGGCGCTGCGCTGCGAGGGCGAGACGGACAAACACTGGCGCCACCGCCGGGAGTTTCTGCTCCGCAACGCCGGCGACCTGGCCCCCGCGGGCGGCGCGGCCCCGGCGGGCGCTGCCGACGCCGAGAGCGGCGCCAGCAGTCGGCAGCTGCAGCAGCTCATCTCCTTCTCCATGGCCTGGGCCAACCACGTCTTCCTCGGGTGCCGGTGAGTGAGGACGCGCCCCGAAGCCGCGCTCCCGGTCCGTTTGCAGCCCGCGGGCTGGGGCCCGGCGCCCTCGGCGGGGAGGGGGTTGCGAAGCGCGGGAATCGGCGGGCCCGGCTGCCCTGTCGGGGCGGGGAGGGCGCCTCTGCGCGGAGCCGACGGGATTTACAGTCCCGAGGCGTCCCCGGCGGGTGGGGGCTGCCGGGCGAGCTGTCGGCGGACGACGCTCCTGCGGATGGACCGCGCGTTTGAAAGTTGGCCAGGAGGGACCCCGCCTCCCAACCTTGGGGCATTTGCTGCTGCGGTTCCAGGAAACCGAAAGTTCCCGGCGGTTGGTACGCTTGATTACAACCAGGAAATGCAGTTCCTGTGGCCCGTTTGTGCACACCAGAAGTCGTGGTTTAGAAAAAACACTTTTTTTTTTAAGTGTCTTTTCCTTCTTTTTCAGGTACTCTCAAAAAGTTATGGATAAAATACTTAGTATGGCTGAAGGCATCAAAGTGACAGATGCTCCCATCCATACCACAAGAGACGAACTGGTTGCCAAGGTGAAGAAAAGAGGGATATCGAGTAGCAATGGTTAGCAGATCATAGATGTGAACATACATAGGAGTTTAGAACATAAGTTTGATATAATTAGGAATTGCTGTTTTTACTAATTTTTTAATAAGCTAGAATTTATATAATGTTATTACTCAAGTTGGAACATTAAACCTAAATTATGTCTCTTTATTTTAGGCTGTGAATTTGATCGTCGCCCTTTGACTGCTTTAGATCTTGAAGTGTCACACATTGTACTGTTGATTTTTTAATGTTAGAGATTAATGATGTCATTTAATGCAATTTTAAGAAATTTATTTGTATTCCACTTTAAAGAATCTACTAGTCTTGAAATGTTTTCGCCTTTGCCTTTATTTTAATGAGTATTTGTCTTGTAAATTTTCACCTGGTACGTATGAAGTAGACTTAGTCACATATCTGTCTTCCTTTCTAGAAGGGGTAGAAGAGCCATCGAAAAAACGAATCATAGAAGGAAAAAACAATTCTGCAGTTGAGCAAGATCACGCAAAAAGTTCTGCCAAAACAGAACGTGCATCAGCTCAGCAGGAAGTCAGCTCGACATGTATGGGGTTGTCTACCAAATCCGAGAGTGGTGGGAACTCAGCTCGGGGCTCTGGCACCTCCAGTCAGAACAGCTCTGCAAGTGACGGGGATCGGTCTGTCTCCCGGCAAAGCAGCAGCAGCCTTTCCGCTCAGGTGACAACAGCAGGGTCTGGAAAAGCTTCTGAATCTCAAGCTCCAGATAAACATGGTTCAGCATCGCTGGTCTCTTCGTTGTTGAAATCCAGTGTGAATAGTCATGTGACCCAATCCACTGAATCCAGACAACGAAGTGGATCACCTAAAAAGAGTGCTTTGGAAGGCTCTTCAATCTCAGCTTCTCAAAGCATCTCAGAGATAGAGGTGCCCTTGTTGGGCTCCTCAGGAAGCTCAGAAGTAGAGTTGCCACTGTTGTCATCTAAACCTAGTTCAGAGACAGCTTCAAGTGGGTTAACTTCCAAAACTAGTTCAGAGGCAAGCGTTTCATCGTCGGTCTCTAAAAACAGTTCCTCATCAGGCACCTCCTCGGTAACTCCCAAGAGCAGCACCTCAGCAAATACATCGGTGCTGACTTCCAAGAGCACTTCGCAGGTGGCCACGTCGCTGTTAGCTTCCAAGGGCAGCTCCCAGACCGGTGGGTCTCTGGTTTCCAAAAGCACTTCCTTAGCAAGTGTGTCCCAGCTGGCTTCTAAGAGTAGTTCTCAGACCAGCACGTCACAGTTGCCTTCTAAAAGTACTTCACAGTTAAGTGAGAGTTCTGTGAGATTCTCTTGTTGCAAGTTAACCAATGAAGATGTGAAACAGAAGCAGCCTTTTTTCAATAGACTGTATAAAACGGTGGCCTGGAAGTTGGTAGCTGTTGGTGGCTTTAGTTCCAGTGTGAATCACGGAGAGCTCCTAAACGCAGCTGTGGAGGCTCTGAAAGCTACACTGGATGTGTTTTTTGTCCCGCTGAAAGAACTGGCAGATCTGCCTGAAAGTAAGAGCTCTCAAGAAAATATCGTTTGTGAATTGAGATGCAAGTCTGTCTATTTGGGCACTGGCTGTGGAAAAAGCAAGGAAAATGCAAAAGCAGTCGCCTCCAGAGAAGCTCTGAAGTTGTTTCTCAAGAAAAAGGTGGTGGTAAAAATATGTAAAAGGAAATACAGAGGCAGTGAAATAGAAGACCTGGTACTCCTTGATGAAGAATCAAGGCCTGTAAACTTACCTCCAGCATTGAAACATCCTCAAGAATTACTATAATACGTCCAGAATACCACTGCATACGTGATCTGGTATTTGAAAAGAAAAACTGGCTTACTTTTGTACAATATAAAACAGGCTTTCACAAATTTTGTATTGCTTTTTTCCAGTTTTGCAGAAAATTTACATCCTAGTTCTCTTCACACAATAGAAGTTGTAAATAACTTACGAATGACAGTCCATGTTAAAAAGTATGCATTAACAGCATATCAGTATGCTGTTTCGTTTGCTGAAGAAAATACTGTCTTCTATTTTTAATGATACATTAGGTACGACGTGTAGATCCTGTAGTCTTAAAACTTTTGTACTTTCGATTTGGTGAAAATGTATTAAGTTGTCTACCATGCTTGTTTTTTTCTAGCTGAATAAACCTCCACATCAAAGAAAAGGGGACCATAGTATTTGAATGTCTGAAAGTCTGTGAAGCTTAAGGTTTTAAGAATGTTGCCCATAACGTTGAACATGTCTCTTAAAGAATAAAAGAAAAAATAGTTGCCTCAGACTATTTTTATGAGAAGTTGTAAGCATTTTTTAGATATAAAGCAGTATAAAGTACTTAAGGTTATTTTATTCTGAAATTGTTTAAAATTCACCATGATTTTGACTGCTGCAGATTCTTTAAGTGGGTTAATTTATGTTTTGAGGTAAAATACAATTTACATGTTTTCTTAAAGACATAAATGTGGGTTTCTATATTAAGCATATTTTGTGACTACTATTAACAGATTGATTTGTTTAGATATTAAATGCTTTAAGCTATTTTACCTTTTCAAGAAGTTGTGTTTTTTTTCCCCCCAAGTCAGAACCAATTCCTGCAAATAGGCTTCCCACTTCTAGTCGTGGTAAAGTGCAACCAGGTAATTTTGCATAGCTGCTATACAACTTTTTATAAATAGAGAAGTTTGTTTGCAAATCTAGAACTGGATGGTTGTTTTGTTTACAAATGTCATAGAACACTGGGAAGAATGGAGAGCCAAGCTCAGCTCTTCAGTGAGCCTGATTAACGATTGTTAGTAATGAAATGGAATCCTGTTTCTGTCTCTTTGGTGATTCTGACTGTATTAGTCTATTGTGAGTAATATTGTTTCATTTTTCTTCAAATTCTGGCCCAAAATGTTTTGTTATTTTTGTGGCCTTCTGGCTTTCTAGATGCTGCACAGTGAGCAGAAATGGTGATAACAGAAAAATCAAGTAATGACCTTTTAGGGGCTGGCCCAGGGGCATAGTGGTTAAGTTCACATGCTCCGCTTCTGTGGCTGGGGGTTCGGATCCCAGGCACAGACCTAGCACTGCTCATCAAGCCACCCTGTGGCAGCATCCCAGGTGAAGTAGAGGAAGACTGGCACAGGTGTTAGCTCAAGGACAATCTTCAAAAAGAGGAAGATTGGCACAGATACTAGCTCAGGGCCAATCTTCCTCACACATTCACATGTTTGCATTCACAGTTGTATTGGAATAGGAAAATTGAACATAAGCACAATTTAAGTGCGTAGCAGTTATTTCTAGTTTATATTCTAGAAGTAATAGACAAGGATACTTTATATACTTGAAATAATCAGAGTTGTTTTTATTTCACCAGATAGCCTTCAAAAGTGATTCATTTTTGAGGATGCTGAGTTGGATACCAAAGCTAAGTCCATCTTTTGTCAATGGGTTGCTTTCATGTGTTGTGAGAAGCAGTAACAGGAATGTTGTAAAGCACTTTGAATTACCTCACTTTCCTCAGTTTTGGAATGTATATTTTGCAGGACAATGATTGCCAGAAAAGCAAGCCAAATATTACAAAGAATAATAAATTTCTGTATCTAATTAGGTGATTTGGTAATTTCATGAATTGGCTAATTTCAAGTTAATATAAAGATTATTGAAAATATTTTAAATTATAGTAACCTTTTGATAATTTGAATTGGAGGAAGCTGCTTGGTGTACAGACAGTTTAATTTCTGAACATTTATTTGCTATAATCTTATTAAAAGCTGATAAAATGCTTAAAGAACCCCTGATTTAAGAGCAACACATGTTTTACAATTCTTCAAGATAGTGTACTGAGTGCAGAAGAAAACAAGCTTTGGAATCTTGACTCCCGGGAATTTAACCTTTTAACTTCATTTGAAATAGGGCTATGAAGATTTAACGAGATAATACATTTAAAGAGCCCAGTATAGTGCAGTACACCATAGTCTATTGATTGCTTATATACATGTTCTCATTTCCTCACAACTTATGAGTAGCTATTCTCATTTGACCCTTTTTTTGGTGAGGAAGATTGTCCCTGAGCTAACATCTGTTGCCAATATTCCTTTGTTTTCTCGAGGAAGATTGTCCCTGAGCTAACATCTGTGCCAATCTTCCTCTATTTTTGTATGTGGGACACTGCCACAGCATAGCTTGAGCAGTGT